TAGATTGGCAACATAAAGGTGAATTATTTTTGGCCCGGTGGGCCCATGACACTTCAGGCCATCAGGGCAGAGATGCAACATATAGATGGGCCCGTGACCGAGGGGTGGACTTAACAATGGACACTATTGCCCAGGTTATTCATGAGTGTGAAACATGTGCTGCAATTAAACAAGCCAAGCGGTTAAAGCCTCTTTGGTATGGAGGATGATGGTTGAAGTATAAATATGGGGAGGCCTGGCAGATTGACTATATCACACGGCCACCAACCCACCAAGGCAAGCGCCATGTGCTTACCATGGTGGAAGCAACCACCGGGTGGCTGGAAACACATGCTGTGCCCCATGCCACTGCCCGGAACACCATCCTGGGCCTTGAGAAACAGATTTTGTGGCGACACGGCACCCCAGAGAGAACCGAGTCAGACAATGGGACTCATTTCCGGAATAACCTTATAGATATTTGGGCCAAAGAGCATGGCATTGAGTGGGTATATCACATCCCCTACCATGCACCAGCCTCTGGGAAAATCAAACGGTACAATGGGCTGTTAAAAACTACACTGAGAGCGATGGGTGGGGGAACTTTCAAGCATTGGGATACACACTTACCAAAGGCCACCTGGTTGGTCAACACCAGAGGATCTGCCAACAGGGCTGGCCCAGCCCAGTCAGAACTTTTACATATTGTAGAGGGGGACAAACTTCCCGTGGTGCATATGAAGAATTTGCTGGGGAAGACAGTCTGGGTTATTCCTGCATCAGGTAAAGGCAAACCCACTCGTGGGATTGCTTTTGCTCAGGGACCTGGATATACTTGGTGGGTAATGCGGGAAGATGGGGAAGTCCGATGTATACCTCAAGGGGATTTGATTTTAGGGAAAACAGCCAGTGAACTCAATTGTATACTGTTGCCTGCTGTGTAATACTTTTATAGCCCATCAACTAGATGTCTCCAGGTCACCAGGGACTGGCCCTGACTTCCCTCCAGCCATCATCCCAACAGAGAATGAACTTGGAACATCATGGACCGAATGGACTCGGCAGCATTATAGGGATTGGTCCATGCACTAAGAAAATGATCTTTTCCTCTTGGTCTGTATGTATATGGATGTATATATGTGGGAGAGCGATGGTGTATTGAAAATGTGGGATCTGAGCATGACGTGAATTGTATGGAATAAGGGGTGGATAATGTCCTGGGTTCAGCAGTAGCAGTCATGTTTTTCCTTTGTGTTAACTGGTGCAGTGCTGTGTTTTGACTTCTAGTTTGAGAACAGTGTTGGTGAAGCCGATGTTGTCGGTTGTTGCTAAGTGATGTTTACCCTGACCAAGGACTCTGTGAGGCTCATGCTCTGCCAGGGAGGAGGGGAAGCTGTGAGGAAGCAGAGACGGGGCACCTGACCCAGGCTGGCCGGGGAGGTATTCCATACCACAGCACGTCATGCCCGGGGTGAGGGGTAACTGGGAGTTACCCGGAAGGACACGGGGCTTCCGGGTGGAACTCGCTTTCTTGGCCGGTGGTATCGTATTCTCTTCCCTTGTTATTTTCCCTTATCATTGTTGCAGTTGATAGTAGCGGTGGTGATTTGTTGCTGGACTGTTCTTGTCTCAACCCGTAGGAGTTGCACTCTCTCGATCCTCCTCCTTGTTCCTCCGGGAGCGGGGAAGGGGAGAGCCCCGGTGCGGGGGGGGGGGAGACGGACACGGACCTCGATTGTTGTCAGCTCGGCACCACTCACTGGGAGTGAGTGAACAAGTTACCTGACTGGGTTTAAACCACGACACTGTAGATATAGTGGGGGAGAATGCAGGAGGAAGAGCAGGAGAGATCACGTCTCCATTTCCTTGCTTTGCACTTTCTGCTTTGACGAAGATTTGGGGGCTGAGGTGTATGTGGCATTTACTAAAGTGTGTAGAACAATTAGAGGCTGTACAGGAACATGCAGTAATGTATCTGTTCTCAAGTTGTACGGCAGCACTGAGCAGTCTGCATGCTGTTGGTTAGTTAAATTCATTGCTTCTGACTTAAAATCTTTTTGGCTGCCTCAATTGTTTCTTTCATCTTTGCATACAAGAGGAAGGATGGGGGAACTAAAAGCCCCATCAGTACTAACAAAGGTTCCTTATACTCTGCTTTGCAATTGTATTTGCCTGTATTCTTGATGCTCAGAGACTCCTAAAGCAGATCTCTTCATAACATAAATGTTTCAAAAAGGATGCTCTCAAGGCTGCTTGGGACAAATTTGACCTATTTTTAACTCTTCAGCTGTTTAGGAAATGCATTTAATTCTCTCTATTTTCTTCTATGCTCAAACAGGCAATCCAGTATTATTTCAGGGGGCCAACACTGATGAGGACCCAGACAATAAGACTGTGCATATGTACCTCAAACTCAATAGAGAACTGAAAATCTATCAGTAACTCAGGAGGTTTTCATTTCCTGTTTTCTGTGAGAAGATAAGTCTGTTCAGTAAGGTCTCTGGCCAGCAAGTGTGTAATTGCCCTTTTACCTCATGGAAGGTACTAATCCTCTTCCAGCACTATGACTTAGCCATGAATTATCTTTCCATGGCAGCTGTGTTCCAGGAGTATGCCCTCCTGAACTTATGTGGCAATAGTCTTGCCTTCATGCAGCAGCTCTGGAATCTGTGAATACCAAGAAACCACTGCCATTTTCATGAAGAAAAAAATTCAGACCATCCTTTTCCTCTGCCATAGCACTTTTAAGGGGCTTTCCCTGGAGGAAAAGCCATTTGTCCCACAGCTTTCATCCTGAACCATGCAGACTTCTCTCAAAAATAGAGACCTGATTAACAGCTTTTCACACACACTCTCTCTAAACGAGGTGATGCACGCTTGCTGGGATGAAATACAGGATAATTGGGGCTTTCAATAAATAGAAATGTTGCTATGAGCCATTCAGTATGGTCTTGATTTCAGAGTTTCAGCTTAACATCAATTTAGAACTTAAAGACCTTTTTCTTTACAGCATGTTATATTTACATGGGCAGTAGGAGTGAAAAAACACTCATATATATGGTAAAACATAGTTACTGATGTATTTCAAGTTCCTATATGAGTCCCAATTGTCAGAAGAGGTATGCTTTTATCTCAATTGAAAAGAAAAAGACTGTGAATACACAACATTTTTTACTAGAACTATTGGCCTCCATACCTTTGTTTTACTTGAAAGCTTTTTGTTAGGAAAAAATAATAGTCATAAATGAAAATGTATTAAATTTCATAGTGATAAGCATTTTGTAAGTATTTGTCCTAAATAAGAATTTAGGATAGGGTATGTAACTACATAATCATTGCACATTAAGATAATATAAAGTCAGATAGGGAGGATGTGATAAAACACTGTAAATAGCCTCTTCTACTCAAATCCAAGATGCTAATCTTGATTTTTGTGACATTTTATTACACTTTACATTAATCTTATTCAAATACACAGGGAAGCTAGTGACTGTCCTCCCACAGGAGCACAGCAACACATAGCATATAGAACACTCCACTGCCTACTGTAGATTTGATCAGTGCCAGCTTTGCTCCACAGAAGGGCAATCCTGGGCATGTAATACAGATCTTCTGTACTGGATGAATCCTGAACTATAACAGCCTGCAGCAGTCTATAACGCCTGATACTACAAAAATACTTTTTGTGTTTCCTTATTTTATTTCATGAAAAAATGTGGGTTGAACAACAATGACACGAATAGTTCTGTACATTTTGCTTATATGAAATAAAAACCTTTATATCATGTATGATCCTGAAATAAAATACAGTAAATAAATTATGTTATATAAAGCTCAACAGCTTCTACTTGAAGTTTCCATGGGGAAGCAGCTGTTCAGTTGATTAGTCACCTTAAAGAAAATCCTAAATGAAAGAATTATACATTAACATCCTCAAGCAGTAGTTGTCTGTAAATAGAAATGCCAGCATGGAAAATCTGATTAACTTCCCTGAGGTCAAAGGCAAGGTGATTTAAAACAATATAAAATGTAAATTTACAAATTTGGATTAAAAAAGTAGCAAAGAGAAAGGCTACCAATAATCCATTTTTTTCAACAGTTTTCTTAACACCACAACTTCAGTAAATGCAACACATAGTACAAAGAAAAATTCTTGCCATATGAAATAAGGTACTAAATCTGAAGATAACAAAATGCTTTTACACTTCCCATCTGCAGACACCCATAGGCTTCTAATTCCTTCATGTACATAGAAAGATGTTCCTGGTGTCTCTGCTTTTGTACCATATTTATTGTGCCCTGGCTTTTATAAAAATAATGGATAATGAGGCTGCATTTTCAAATCACTGCAGCCATGGCTTTGGTTTTGCAAATGACAAATCCATGCACGTAATCAGCGCATGGAGTCACAATCGCATTTCAAAACTCGGTTGGCAGTACATTACTGTGCCCACAAAAAGCTAAAAAAAAACCTTACCAACCTCCTCCCTGCCCCATAACCCCTGGCAACCAAAAATACCAATATGTAATATTGGAGCAGTTGACTGTCCACACAAGCATTTGAGAATCAGCAACACAGCTCAGGCATCATTTCGGCCATATGTGTAGCTCTGCACAGCTTTGAGACTGGTGGAATATGAATATTTGCTTCTGACTCTGTTCCCTTCTGAGATATTCTCTTTGAGGAAGAATTAAGTATTCAGGCCTCTGTGTATGTAGCACCTGCTTTCTGAAAACCTCATTCATTATGTTCAATTAAAAACAAACCCAGGATCACAACTCTTTTCTGTTTTTACATTCAGTTGTATCACCATATCCAAACAGGTTTTTTTAGTCTCTATGTCACAAAAGCACAATGCAAATGTGACATCCAATTGTGCCATACACTCAGAAAGTCACATGGTAAATAAAAAGCAAGAAAAGGCAAAAACTACCCCTCTGGTACATAACGTACAAAACACTAAAACATTCCCCCCCTCCTACAAGAGCAGCTACAAGATATGGCATATTTCAACACTCACGGCTATCGTAGCATATATTGCCCAGGGCACGTCCTGTTTGAAGCAATACTTCCTGGTCTTTGCAGTTTAACAGCTGCACCAAAGGAGGGATCAACCCGGCATCCACACATGGGTTTCGCATAAATTCTGCAAATAGTGCAAAGCCTGTTAAAGCAAGCTGGCTATTGTCAGTTTCATCCGTTCTAGTTACACTGGCATTGCAAATGGGACTTTTGTTAGAATAAACATATGCATAGACAAACGCTGTAAGTTCTTCTGTGGGTTTCAAAAGAATAAGCCCAAGTCAGGATTTGGGCTTATGTTCTTTCCATTAGTTGTTAATTTAGAAGGAATTAAGAGTATTTAATTGACCTTCACGGAAACTAATTTAACATAGCTCAGATCGAGCATATTTTTAGCATCATAAAGAACTGCTGAAAAGAACAACAAATTCACAACCTTTTTCTTCATCCCAGCAAGTTCAACATAAAATTACTAAATAACACAAGATTACTTAAAACTAGTAATCATACTCCAAAATGAGCAGCATTTTTTTACCCTCTATTCCCTTAATTAGAACTTTTTAAAAGCTTTTGCTCTAAAAAAAAAAGGCATTAAAACTAAGTAACAGGCTTTTTATTTGGAAGGTAAGGAATGGAAAAGTAAAAGAAAGAATGAGAAACACAAGAGACATTAAGTGAGCCCAAAGGCCTGTACCTTTCCACATTCTAACTGATGCCCTCCAGGGGAGGAAAGCTAGAGAATCCATCCACTGGGAAGCTTTCTGCCTTTCTGTCCTTTCTTTCTGCTATGTCCCCCAGCCACAGAGAACCAAAGTACTATTTCACATCCGTGCAATAGTCATGGGCAGATAATTATCATGGTGTCAGGGAGATAAAGGACTAGTTTCCAGACAAAGCTATAGTTAGGCAGGCACTGTCACGCACATTTTACAAGGGAAGATTACAGAAGCAACCACCTGAAACACCCGTAGTGTTAATAGTTTACTACTGAGCACCCTTCAGAGAGGTAGCACTGTAATAGGCAAAAGGTCAATACATTTTTGATTTGTGAATTGCAAATTATCTCTTCCTTATTCTAGACAATGTTGGATCTTCCAAAATCAATTTACCTTTGTGTTACTTAGTCAGTTATGAGACAGAATGAACCAGGGTGTATGACCCCATAAAGATATGACACAGTTTTTCTGATTCTGGACCAACAGAAACCCTCATGCCAATAGTCAAACATTTCATATAATGCTTGAAGTACATATACATCGTCTTAAATGCTCCCTTTGGTTCACCTATTACAATGTTCTTTAACGTTTCTGTAGACAGAAAATCTTTTCTCTTTTGTAGTTAACCTTGGAGTTTTATTTTAGCTAAAGAATTAATTGTCATAGAGGCAAGCAGTCCTCACATGATGATGAACTTTGATACATAAACAAGCAGATGAAGTAGAATCAGCAATATCTATACACTTGCACAGGTTCAACAGAAAATAGCACATTTTAAAACTGTAGACAGATGCTATATTGTGATAAATGGTGACGGCATCCATATTAATGAACAGAACAAATATCAGATACATCTGTTCTTTAAACTTGGTCTTGCCATGTCCTTGTAACTTTTCGTCTATTTCTTTCTTTATGACCCACTTTCATATTCATCTCAATGTTTATTTACTGAATGTTTTATGTTCCTCTCTCTATCTTCTCTGTCCCCTCAGTCTCTTCCTCTCTTAATTGACTGCAAAAACTGCTCTGTACCTCAGCTTCTCCCTGCATCTCTTTTACACCCACTAGTTTACCCTAGTCCCTACATCATCTTAGCCTGTCACAGGAAATGTTCTCTCCTAAATGACTGAGAGGTCTCAGCCTGTTCTTTTGTTTTTTCAGGTTCTTGGTCATGTGGTAAAAAGGAGTAAGAACCCCTTTCTCCACCCTCCCTCCCTCCCTCCCTCTAGAGTGAGCAGAAGCTTTCAGTCTTCCATTCAGCAACAAAATAATTAAGCCTTATGCTGAGCAAACTTTTATTTGTCAAGGTCATGTAAGGGCATGAAGTAAAAGAAATGATGCCATATATAGCAAGATAGATCTGAGAGATACCAACAAAAATGTGGCAATTACAACTATATTTGCAGGTGATGACTAGACAGAAGTAATAGAAGAAAGAGAAGGTAAATCAAGTACAGAGGCATTTAGAAGGTTTTCACTAACCTGGCAGGAAAATGAAGCAGATCCTTGAAGGAAACAGTGAAGTAAGAAGTTAGGAGGAGAACCACTGAGGACACAGTAACAAAAACCAAAGGAGGACAAGATTTCAAAAGAGAAATGCAATTGTGTTGTATTATTACAGATTGTGAAGATGATGTTCTCACTCCTATACCTGGCAAAGAAGAGGAGACTAAAGACCTTGGAAAAGGTTTTAAAAGGTCCACAGTGGGGAGAGAAACTCCACACAGCAAATGCATCTGAGCCTTCAATATGCTCACATTTGAAAGGGAAATAGTTGTAGCTGGAGAGACAAGAGGGACCGAAAGGAGTTTTGTGTATTTGGATATTTAAAATGGGAGAGACTAACATGAGCTCATGTTGTGAGGAGGAAGAATCATGTGAGCTGGAGAGGTGAAACAGAGCAAGAGCACAAAGAGGTGAAAAGGAGATGAAACATGACAACACCACTGAGGCATGTAAAGGAATTTGATGTGACCAGAGTGCGTGTGTGTACGTGTGTCTAGGACCAGATGAGGAGAATGAGAAAGAAAAACAAGAAGCAGGGAAGAAAAAAGATGCTCTTTTATCAGTAAAGCCCAGATTCAAAGGCACTACTCCCAGCTCTGCCAGTGCTGCATGGTATGACCACAGGGAAATCAGTTCAGTTGCCTGGGTTTAAAGCCCATCTGTAGGATGTTGATAACACAAAATTTCAAAAAGTGCCCAGAAGCTTGTTGAAAAGAGATGCAATATAAACGTTAAATACTTGTATTGTTATGTAAGGGGACAAATAAAACAGCAAAACTCAAATGAGGTGTCCCTTGCTCATCTCAGTCTTGAAAGCACTGGGCACCTTAAATAACTTCTGAACACCTTCACTTTAACCTTGGCTGACAGAGGTCCAGTTACACCTGCTAATAACTCTAAGAAAAAGACAAAAGCTATTTTGTATGATGAACCAGGTAAAACGCCAGCTCTTCTGAAGAATGCACTTATGACAGCAATTTAAAAGAAGGCAGGGAAAAGGATACTATTCAGAGATTTTGTGTATTAGTTCAGATTTGAAAGATACCAGCTAAAATGCTCTGTAAGAGAATCTTGCAGAAAACAATGCATAGTAATCAGTTAATCTATTGTGAACATTGTTTTTATTCTTAACTTTCCTCTTTCTGAGATAGGAGCTAAAAGGACTTACTGTGGGGATACACTGTTCACAGCAACATTCTAAATATACTCATGAATTTATTAAGTACATAAAAGCATATGGTATGGTTGCATGAATCTCATTCTGAAACGTTTCTAAGTTCAGATTTCTGTGTTTAAATTTTTAACTGGTTATTTACCTAAATAATTTTAAACCTTAAAAACTAACCACGTATATCTTCTTTTCTTGTTAATGTAGTTTCTGAATATCCATATACAACATTGTCTGAAAATCAGTGAATTGGGTAGAGGAAGTCACACAGGGGCTATCAGTAAGAAGCTGTAGTATTGTGATTCCAAAGAAAATATGGAGAAGGGATGTGAAATAGTCAGCAATAATTTAGCACCTTCTCTGAAGAGGCATCAGCATGAGATTTTATAGAGGAAGAGAAGTATGGCTGCCAGGCATGCATGTGGACAGCAGTTAAGCGGCATCCTACTGTTCTCTGCTGGCCTCTGGGAAAGTGCAAAATGCAATTCGTGCCTCTTTCACTGGGACAGCAGCAAGTCAAGGACTGAAGACAGTCAACCACAAACCTCCTCAGCTCTCATCATAGGGTGTGCCAGTCATGCCTGCCTGCAGATATGAGGCCATTTTTTGAGCTCAAGGTATACAGGGTATTGGGTTTTAAGAGCTTTAAGATTATTCTTTCTAAAGAAAAAAAAAAAGTTTTAGATTATCTTTTACATTATATGACTGTATGTATATAATATATACCAAAACATACCAGATTCTCATTTGGGATCTTGGGCTCTTATTCTAGGCATATAATGCTCCTTAGGTAGGAGGTTTTGTTGTGGTATCAAATGCCTCATAATAATAATAATGTTGTCACAAATCTCAGACTGAAGAAACATCTACTACCCCCTTAACTACCTGTATACTCACTAGTGTTGTAACTATGTGCACTATATGTTACTGGATGCACAAATGATGCACATCCTGTTTTTCTATAGGCATTTCATATGCTGGTGGTGTGCTACTTCTGCCCAATAAATTCTACTGTCTTGAAAACTGAATAGCCTGAAAAGATTAAAAAAAAAATTATCAGCCAAATGTTGTTTAGATTTTATTAAAAAATAGAGAAATAAAATTTGACAAAACAAAAAGAGTGAAAGGGAAGGATATGAAAGGTGTCTAATCTACAAAATGAAAACATAAATGAAGTAAAACATACTGACAAGTGAGGTGAAAAACTGAAGATGTTCCAGCAGAAAAGTTCTTGTAGAAAACCTCACCATTTCTGGCTACTTCTGCTATGACGTTAGCTACTTTTGCTGTGCAGGAAGATTGTGGCGTCAACAGACTCCCGAACACCTGAAGAACTCCACTTTTCTGGATTTTTTCACTTGTCTCCATATCTGAAAAACACATCACACAAAAATGACTTGTGAATCAGCTTGCATTGAGGAAGAAAAGAAAGAAAAGGGAGGGTAAGTCTTCTCAAAGGTAATTATTAAGTAATTATTTTCACATATAAGAAGCCAACTGCTATTTCAATGATTGTATTTATTTCATATGATGTGCTCACAGAACTTAATACTTTTCCATTCCTAATCAATTATCTTTATAAGGTAACTCTGTGTTATATAGTAAATATAGTTGCATACTCATGCATATACAGGGAAACTACTGAAGAGAATGGTAGAAACACTAAAGGTCTTGGAGTGATGTGCAGCAGCCTAAAAGCATTATGTAAAAATCAAGGAACAGTACTCTGAAGTGATGAATTATTTGAAATGTTCAAGGAATGATGACGGAAGTCCTTACAGCTGAGGGCACAGCTTAGTGCAGTACAGGAGTCAGAAACTGGTCTAGGCTCCTTTTACACTCAGCTTGAGTATCTTCTGTGTTACACTGCTAAGCTACAGTAGCTTTAGTATAGTCTCAGTAGAAGGGAAAGGCACAAATAACACTGAGCTTTTCTTGTAGTAGAGATCAGAGATTTGGGACAAAATCTTCCATTTCTGCCTGTAATAGTGAGGAATTGTGCAGCTGCTCTGTAACGGGGCCCCACCTAGCATGACTGGCCAACAGCTCTGTAACAAACTGAAAACTAACATTGATTAGTGAGGTAATAGATACTGTGAGGTAATAGATACTAAAACATTTTGCTAAAGTTTTCAAATAATGGCATATTTGAGACAATTATTAGTGTGACATACAATATGATTAGATGGCAGCTATCACTTTATAAAGCAGCATGACTCCTTAAGCCATTCATAATGGAAGTCGGTTGCATTCCCCAAGGACGGCTGTGAGATGCTCTAATTGATGACTTTTACAAAGAAGACAAATCCACCAGAATGCAAGTCCATTTTTCGACAACCCTGTCTTGCAGGGGCATTTTTAAGTGCTACAACATGCGCAAACCCCCTCACATCATTTAAAAGCTTTACTGTAAAGTGCATGTTAACATTTAAAAAATCACCACAGCTTGCCAGTAATGGTGAGAAACAGATGTAGATACTTCAGATTTGAAAAGACAAGCCTCTGAGAACCACTTTCTGCAATTTCTTAGAATCACCCTCCCATTGGTATAAGAGCTATTAAGACAGTCAGGCTGGGCAGCAATAGTAGTAATCAATAGATTTGGGGTTTATATAGTGTGTTTCGCACCTGGAAGAAAAGAGAGGGACATTATATACTCTTGAACAGCAAAGGAGAAGCCTTAAGTTAATCCAAGTTTCATTTTTTTCAAGACAACATTCTCTGTTTTCTCTCTAAGCAAGTAAATGCATATTTTGTACACAACTAGCTAGTCTTCTAGAGCATCAGTTTGCATTCTCTCTTAGCTGTGCTCCACCTGTGAATTGGTCATGACATGTCACAGGGCTCACCTCCTCCTCTCTTTCCCCATTCTCAGGGCTGTAACTGATTTTTTACTTGTGACAGCTTCAGGAGAACCCCTGCTGCCTCTGAGCACAGAAGAGAGCCACTTGAGCTGACCCTGAACAGAAGCCAGCACAAGCCAGAGGTAACTCACATGGATTTTGTCACTCACATCCAGTAAGTACATGATTCAGTGGCTGGGAGCCATTTTCTGTCTAGGTGATAGAAAATGGACTAAAGGGAGAGAACTTCAAGTCTGTATTGGAGACTATCTATTTCTGCATTTAATTCCATCTTGGGATGTTGGTCTTTGGCTAGGACAACTCATCGATAGTATGTCAGTGATGACATCTGACTACAAACATTAGGCATAAAATGAAGATTGATTAATTTCAACACATTGTGCATCATCACAGAATGGTTGAGGCTGAAAGGGACCACCAGAGGTCATCTAGTCCAACCTGCCCGCTCAAGCAGTTTCACCTAGAGCACATTACTCAGAATTGTGTCCAGACAGCTCTTGAGTAGCTCTAGGGAAAGAGACTCCACAATCTCCTACTTCCCCTCTGAGCCTTCTCTTCTTTAGGCTGAACAGGCCCAGCTCTTTCAGCCTTTCCTTAGCCCTAAGCTTGCCTATGATGATGTCACAGGAGACAGTGTCAAAAGCCTTGCTGAAGCCCAGGTAGACAACATCCACTGCTTTCCCCTCACTAATCCAGCCAGCTGTCCCATCATAGAAGACAAAGAGGTGGGTTAAGCATGATTTTCCTTTAGAGAATCCATACTTACTACTTCTGACCACCACCTTGCCTTCAGTGTGCCTACAGCTGGCCTCCAGGATGGTTCCACCACCTTTTCAGAGATGGAGATGAGTCTTACTGGCCTGTAGTTCCCAGGGTCCTCCTTCTTGCCCTTTTTGAAGACTGGGATGATTGATACTTGGTTTCTTCCAGTCCTCTCCTGACTGCCATGACCTTTCAAAGAGGATCGAGAATGGCCTAGCAATGATGTCTGCCAGCTCCCTCAGCATTTGTGGGTGCATTCTATTAGGGACCCCCAAATATAAGTGCTAATTATCATTAACCTGTTTGCAATCTTGTTAAATGCAATTTTTGAAATGCAGTGAAATATAATGTAAAGGAGCTTATGGATTATCTGGAAGCTTTCATAAGTTCTGACATACAGCATACACTTAACAGATACATTTTTCTATGGATTTTTACAGATGAAAAAAAAGCTTGAATTCAGAGAAAATCATATCAGGACTAATGACCGGTCCAAATAGCTGTCTAGTAAAGAAGATACCCTCCTTGTCCCCTAAATTCAGAACTGAAAGTACAGAATTCAAAATGTAGATATCTGTGAACCTGTATTAGTAGGCAGGGGACATTTTCTCCTGCCACACTGCCAAGATATACAGTATCCAGTCTCAGTTTTATGATCTGTAGTTTGATGGGCTCATTACTGTGCAAGGCATAAATCACATAAATAGAACAAAATATATCCTGCAAGAAGTGAGAAAATAAAATTAAATGCTTCTCCAGGCCAGTTGTGTATAGCAGATATGCACTGATTTATATTATTAAGATAAGCAAGTGAGCACCAGTAAAAGCACAGGGCGTAACAGACCTGTGGGAAATAGGGAAAATGCCTAGCTTGGATCACATAGATGAAAACGAACCACTGACATTTCTTGCTCTTGAGCAGTACAGGAGGCACAGCTACATATACTCTCCCCCTCAAACCAAATTCCCACTGATTCTTGTTACCCAGGCTGAGCACCAATGTCAAAATTTTGCTAGTCACAAAAGAGGGAAGACTGATTAATATGACCAGCAGCAAGTATACCTCTCCTGTGCTGGGCAGGGACATCTCTACCCTGAGTGAGTGCTCATGCACAACTGTTTGTGGGGAGAAAGCACACTGCTCTGGCACCAGGCAGATGAATAGCTACTAACTATGCAGCCCGCTGGGCTCTCTTAGGTGTTCTTGCCAGTAATTGCCTTGGGTGTAAAAAATGCCATGGAGCACTTCTGCTTGTCTACTGCAAGTCTACCTAAGCCCTCCTCTTCCTCTGCAGAACATTCACACTTGGTGCAATATACAAATTAATTCACACTTGGTGCAATATACAAATTAATCCAGTGTCAAAACAGAGATATGACAGTATGACATTAAATCCTTGCAGGTAGTTTATAGTACATCTTCCATATAAGGCATCCTAAAGGAATGTGCCAATAAAATTACCGTTACATCCTCAAACACATTACTCTAAATTTCCTGGTCTGTATCTGCAGAATAAATCCTTCCCCTTCCTCCCTCCCTCCCCTGCCTTGGGATTCTGTGTTTACTGCATTAAAGTTCTAATAAAGAAGGGAGGGGGAAGAATAATGTGTTGCAATATACAAACTAATTTCTTAAGCCATATGTAATTGGCAGACATTTTAGTTATAGAAAATCAATCTTTAGTGGGCTTTTGAAATGCAAGGAAGCACATCTTAATTGGAACAAGATGCCTTACATATAAAACTAAAATTGCCTTGTTAAATCTAGGATTTCTGCTTAGTTTGTTTTGAGGGTTTTTTTTTAATTCTTTTAAAGGTGGATGGCTTAACAGGCAAATGATGCGCAGGGTTGCCCTGTGAAAACTGGGAAGTCCAAATGAAGATCTTCATTCAGCCTTCATTTGTCTGAGGAGTCAAGTGTACACTCAGTGCAGGCAGTAAGCATTGAAATTCATGGGTGTAGAAGAAAACACAAGAGTTGGAGGTTTTGAAGATGATTTCAGCACAGCTGTAGGTATATAAGCAGTTTGGCTGTTTCTCCGAAGTGCCCAAATTGGACAATTACTTCATTGCTACTTGAAAAACATGAGCTAAGTGTTGTGTGTCTTGTGCATATGTATACGTGCAGTTCTAGACCCATTCTGCAGGATGCACTGAAGGTATAAACTGTGGTAGGAGGGGACTGCAGCTGCAGACAGCACTGAAAAGCAACTAACTACCCTAAAACAAGCCAAGCTTTTCTTCTTTGATTTTTTCACTTGCAACTAGAGTGGCATGGTTGTTAGGGCAGGGGCTTTAAGAAGCAGGGATTTAGACTGCCCACCCATTAAGGCCCATGCACTTCTATGTTAACCTAAGACTGGAAGATCACTTCCCAATGTTGCCAAAGGGCTGGTACCCATACCACTTCCTAGGCCTAGGAAAAAGTTTGGGGTTTGCTGAGAATTAGGAATTGCTAATGCCTTTGGCATAGGCAACCCTCAATTCTTGACTTTATTTGTTCCCTTCAGAGGCTGGAGAAAGCCTTCCTGGCTTCCTGTCTGTGTTATATGCACTAAAGAGGTATTGTTTGTTAAGGGTATGAATCTGCTGCATGCTAGTTTCATTCTGGGCTTCCTAGTAAATTATTAAAGGCTAAATTATTTTTATAACTTATTTCAGTTGTCATCTTTTGAATTGCTATTTCAAGGTATTGTCAATTGTAGTTGGAGCAAGTAAAACTTAGTTTCTCTAGGAGTAAGAAA